ATGTAACACATGTTGCTTTGTTAGAAGTCAACTGGCATCTGGAACCACCATCGAATTCAGCTCCACAAAGGTTAACAGCTCATTCCGTTTGAGAGCATTTGGTACCTGCTGTCCCCCTGTGATAAGGAAGGACCTGCCAAGCCTGAGAATCTCCCTACCTCACCATCTACCCCACTGGGACCCCACCTTTCAGAATCTGTAGCAGTGAGGCTCTAGCTACAAAGAAGGGACCAAGAGAGCTGCCCCACAGAGGATAACCACATGCCCTTAGACAGGGATTGTTGAGCCAGCTTACGGTCTACAGTGGGTGGCTGCTATCCGGGTAAACAAAATGTTTATTAAGGTCTCTGGTTTTCCAGGCAGTACTTTACAGGCACTGGGATGTACAGTATTGGAAAAGACAAGGTCCCTACCCTCAAGAGACTCAAGTTCCAATTAGAATATTAGCTAACATTTATTGAGCACTTACTGTGTGCCAGGCAGTATTAAGTACTTTACATGTACTAATATTTAGTTAAGGAGACAGAAACCATAAACAATTACTAGCCAAGTGAACAAAGGACAATGAAAGAATTGATCCTACTGTTAATGGTCAGCGAGGCTTCACAGAGGTGACATTTGAGATGGGACATATAAGATGTCCAAAGTTTCACTAGAAGAGGAAACAGACTTTGCAGAGGAACCACATAGCTAGTAGCCCTAGAGGCTATAGCAGAGGGTTGTGAAGGATCAAGTCAGCATCCTACTAAGGATGTGTAGACTGGACCCACAGTGGGCGGGGCTCTGAATGCCATGTTAAAAAGTTTAGACTTTATCCTTTAAAAGACCTTCAGTATCTCCCCCTTGCCTGAGCCAAAATGACTTTTGATCAGGTCTGTATTTTAGAAGAATAATTTCTGGCACCTGTGTGAAGGATGGATTGTAAAAGGGAAGAGACTCAAGCTGGGGAGGCCAGTGGGGAATTTTTTTCAAAAGCCTGGATGAGAGATAAAGACCTGTACCTGGATGCAGGCAATGGCAAGGGTGAATAAAGGAGGAATTCAAGTGAAGGCAGAGGGAGAATTGTCCAGATTTGGGTTAAACACAAATCTAAATGTGAGGGAGGAGTCGAAAGAGGAAACAAGGTTTCTAGCAGATTTTTCACCAAGATAGGGAGAACAAAAGGAAGGAGGGGAGAAAATGAGTTTTGTTTGGGTCATGAGAGACTGCCAGGTAGGAACGATCAGTAGACAATTAGAACAGCAGCTCAGGGAAAAAAGGGCAAGAGGGAGAGACTTGGGAGTTTTGAATACACAGAGCAGGAGAGAACCAAGGCTAAAATGGTGGGGGACACTGATATTTAGGGGCAGGACAAGTAGTTGAAAAGGGGCAGTTAGGGGGAAGAGGAGAACCTAGGAAAGCCAAGCTCAGTAACTTCTTTGCCAGAAGAATGAACTGGTGGGTGAGTAGAGGCTGGTTAGCTCCAGAGAGGTGAAGTAGGATGAGAGCTGGATGAAAACTGGAGGAGCTGGAATCTATTAGTTCCTTCTACCCGTCTTCGACTTACTTCAGAAGAGGGGTGCTGGTGTGATGGCAAGCTTGAAAACAGGCATCTGCTGACAAGGGAAGGCCAATGGGGCAGGGGAGTGACAATGCCTCACTTATTTGCCCTTTTATCTGCTTGTGTCCCTTCCACTCAGAGCCCCGAAGCCAGGACAGGAGACGGCGGCAGCAGCCACTGACCCATCACCCTACGTCAAGCAGCCCGGCCCCGTCCCCAACTCCTGTTAGTTCTAACACAGCCTCTTTACACATGGGCTCCTGCCTACTGCCCAACTCGCTCAGCATATCAGGTCTGTACCCACCGCCACTGAAATCTGGGTTGGCCAACCTCCTTCCTTCCCTACCTCCCAGGGCATAGGCCAGACTCCTGACTAGGCTTGAAGAAATCCCTCCAGCTCTGCTGCCATGTGACCTGGACCTCATTCCTGACTTGATGTAATACAGGCCACTCCAGACCAGGGGCGTCAGTTATCCTCCTGGATTATCCTAAATCCCTAACATCAATGCCCTTGTACAGGAAGCTGGAGTTTAGTGAACATCTTTGTGTAATAAAATAACAGTTACCACTTATTGAGTGTTTACTATGTGGCAGGCACTGCTCTAAGCACATTACCTCATTTAATCCTTATTTTTACAGTTGAGGAACCTGAGGACTTTTCCTACCTACTATTTATTCAAGCTCCCTGACTCCAGGAGCTGGGCAACTTAGACAAAACTGAAGAATGAAAAAAGCATAGGCCTTTCACCTGTCATCACCGCAAATGTTGTGTGACCATATCATCCACAAAGAGCCTAGACCGTCTGCTCTCCTTTTAAGTTAGAGACCCAGCCGTGTAAAGCACTGGATGGGGATGATTTGTAAGACTCCAGCCTAACATCTTCTACCCCCCTCAGAGCCCACTACTCCCAACCTGTTAACTCTCTTTGACAGGTAGCCCTGAATCCACCAGTCTTGGGTACTGATGACTTGATCCTTAAATGCTCACACATATGATTGGGATAACTCTAAGGTCTATAAATTCATAGTAGTTCAGCTTGAGTGGGTTCTGATTCAAGCTCAAGTTACTGTTCTACCCCTCGGACCAGACTAGAGCGTGTGCCGTGCTTCCGAACCAGCGGCGATTTTGCCAGGCAGCGGACATTTGTCTGGAGAGATTTTTGGTTGTTACAGTGGGGAGGAGGCAGGGGAAGAAATGCCATCTGCTGAGCAGAGGCCAGAGATGCTGCTAAACATCCTGAAATACACAAGGCAGCCGCCCACAACAAAGAATTATCCAGCCCAAAATGTCAATATTGCCAATATTGAGAAACCCTGATCTAAAGGAAGTTACCTCTTCTCCACGGCCCCATCCTGATATCAGTTTCCTTTGTTCCCTAGGGAGTAGCTGCTCATTCCTATCCTCAGGGGACAAACCAGAGGCTGTCATAGTGATTGGGAAAGGTCTGCTAGGGGCTGGACCTCGGATCCCCTGTATCAGGACCCGACTACAGGTAACATTTTTGGGTCTTCCCCAGTCCCCAGCATAGCAACTCTGGCAGAGCCCAGCAAGGCACTGTTCACCTGGGTAGTGGGAGGGAAAACGCCCAGCACTGCTTTACACCCTCTCCCCACAACCAGAGCAGAGAGCTGCTCTGATGCCTGAGTGCCTGTCTGTCCGGTGCTGCACCCCTGTCCCCTTCAGCCAGGTCTCTTGCTTGCTTCCAATCCCAGTATCCCTGCCAGACATACCCTAACCTCAGCCTGCTAGCTTTGGCTTTGCCTGCCCCTGCCCTTAGCTTCTCCTCTCTTTCTGCCCAGACCTGCCCGAGGAGAGTTCCCGCCAGGAGGGGTCCCGGATTCCCCAGGTAACACATCTGGTTGCTGCTCCTAGGAACAGCTGTGCCACCAACTCTGATTCAGTCCAGATCCCCATACTAGGTTGACTGAAGTTAGGTATAGGCAGAAGCTGACTGGATAGGTGAAGCTTAAGCTGCTCTGGCAGGGGCTGAGGCAATGAAGGCTCTGAGGTAGACCCACTAATCCTCCAACATCTTTCCACACCATGCTTCTCTCCTCAGCCAGATCTTGACCGTGGTACAGCCATGAAGGTTAAATGCTGGACCCTTCTGACTCCCCTAGTTAAGTAAAGCCTGGAATGTATAGTCATAGACTGAACCCAAGAGTTTTCTGGCTATTATCCTGCCCTACCTTCTCAGCTAGGAACAGTGCCCAGGAACTCAAGGTTCCAGTACCCGTGTTGACACCCATACTACACTCATACGTGTGGATACTAGAAGGAAACCTAGAAGCAAAAAAGTTCATGGAAGAATCCAGCCTCATAGCCTACCCGCTGTCCACACAGGCTAGGCCCAGGTTGGGCCGGGGCTCACCGCCGACTCGCAGAGGGATGAGAGGCTCTTCGGGCCCCACGTCCCCTATCCCCCGGACCAGGGAGAGCAGCGAGGCAGAGCCGGGACCCTGCTCCATACCACGGTGAGCACCAGGGTGCAACTCTTCAGCCCACCTCTCACTTCTATCCTCTTATTCCCATTTCTGCCATTCAAGATCATTTTCTTCCTTCCCTTCTCCCTTTGACCCCCGAAAGACTAAATGTACCTCCATTAAGAACCTAGTCCCTGACTTTTTCCCCCATCATGCTGTCCGTCTTCACTCCAACAGACGAGAGAACAACTTCTGGTTAGGCCTAAGGAGCAGGCTGGTCAGACCATTCCTGTCAGACCGCTGTGCAGTGCTCAACCCGCCTATCCTCACCCACCTTGCCTCTCTCATCTCCCAGCCCCTGGCTGAAAGACCAGAAGAAGGGCGGAGTTTTCACAACCCTGATTCCTCTCTCTTCTCTGTTGCAGGCTGCCTCAGGCTGGGCCCCCACGGCCCTGCTCTGCCCCTGCCTTTTCTCCTATGTCCCGTAGTCTGTCTGACTCCCAGGCCCGGATTTGTTACAGTGGGGGGCCCTTGGGCCAAAATGAGGTTTGTTTTGTCCCTAAATCTCCTCCACTCACTGTTTCTCCCCGGGTCTGAGGCCTTGACCTTCACGCCCAGCACATGACCCGGAGATGGGGAACACAGTGAGAAATGTGCTAGTCCCCTTTCTCAGCTCCTGATTCCATGTGACAATTATAACTCCTTGGAACGCCAGCCACACTCTTCTGAGACACCGCAGAGCATCACCTTGAGACAGGACAAAGCAGGGACCTGCCACCCCTTCCCTCCCTCCACAGCACACGATTTGGGGACCACAAAAAAAAATCTATATTTTTATATTGGGGGGAGGGAGTAGAAAATAAAGTAGCCCTATGCTGGGCCCTATTCAGTGGCAGCTTCTTGTTCCATAAGGTTAAGGAAGACTTTGAGGAAATAAAAGTTGTTTGGAAAAATCCAGGTGTAGTTGCTTTGTATGTTGTGATGGGTAGAAGGGATGAAGTGAAGTGTGAAGGCCCCTCACACCCTCCATCTTGCCTCAGACTATGTCCTGGAACCCTAGAAAAGAGGGGGAAAGACCTGAGGTAAGGAAAATGCTGCAGCTTTCCTCTGGGGCAATCCTTCAGGAATCAACTCCCATCCAGCCTGTCCCCCCTTGCAATTCTCGCCCACACTTACGGGATGGTTTACCAGACGTTCATACAACACCTCCCCCCCATCGCATCCTTCTCTATGGCTTGGGTCTACACTAGCCAACCCCTAAATCAGTGCCCTGTGCCCCTGAAATAGAATTCTCTATCTTTCCAACCCCTCACACAAAAAAATTATGCCTAAATAAAACCCTAAACAACCTTGGAAAAGTGAGTACTATTTAAGTGAAGAGCCTAAATCCTCTTACTTGGACGGCATCCTCAGTACCTTTATTCCTTCGGGCGTCAGTACCTTCTTGTACCCGTACTATCAACTTGGGCATCTGGGGACCACATGAAGATGGGGACTGAGGGGGTTTAGGGAACCCACCCCGTTCTAGCAGGGAGCAGTTTAAGGGGGAAGGGGGCAAGGCACTCGCTGCTCTGTGCGGATAAAGGGGCCCAGTATCATGCTTGGCCCCACACTTTCTGATTTGAAGTTTCGAACCCTTCACTCCCTGGCGCGGCCCCGCCACTCTCTGGGGCTGGGCGCTACAGCCCCGTACCGTTACCTGGGGCGGAGAAAGCGCCACT